AGTTCAGACTCGAGCTGCTGCCGCTCCTAGAAATTATTAGTCGCGAGAACATGTAAATATTTAATGTGGGGGGCAAGTACAGTTTCATTGTAGTTTTGAGTCTCCATGGTGACTGAAGAGTAGGTGTTGACCCCAAGAAGGAGCAGAAGTCGTGAGGATCTCCAGGTCAAGTCCAAGGTACTTTCAACGTCGACTGCACGGAACCATATATAATCAAAGAGGGATTATGCTGCGGCCTAATTGGGTAGCTGCAATCTGGGTTCCGGTTCCGCATCGGCGTTACTCGTATGAGGTTCCAGGTCGGTGGCTTTGTATCAGCCACTAGACGTCGGTGAAATGGCGCCGTTAAGCGTTCGATGGCACCGGCAATTGCTACAATCGCGTTTCGCGACTCAAGTTCGAGCTTAGAATCGAACGAGACAAGAAAACAAAGTCGACCGGAGGCTACTCCGCAAGGCAATCTGTTCTTAAACGTGCTCTTCGACGTCTCGGCGTCCAAGCCCGGGCATGGCATGGGCGGGCGCGGGAATCGACACGTGTGTGGCAGGGCGACCGAAGAGCCTAATGTGCATCACTCTTGCACAACTTCGCAGGCTGCGGTATCGACATCCTCAGCCCCGCCCGGTTGTGACGGGTTGACCAGTCAAAGGTGCACATTGCTATTGGCCCGCACGCCAAAACCTGGAGAAGCGACCCACCTTGATGCTTTGGGGGCCAGTGTGTCCTGGGGTAGTGTACAAGGATGATACACATAGGCTGGGGCGTTGGTGCTGAAGCGGTTGTGCAACCGGCAGATGCTGTGGCCCGGGCTATTGGAGAGCTCAAACGACTATTTCGATTTTATTCTTGGGTTTGCAAGCCATTGTATCAGGCACTTTTCTCAATGCAGGCGGTCGACGTTGGTTTGTATGGGTTTCGATTGACGAGTGCAACTGCCGAGTTGCACTATTGGACTAGTGCGATGCGGGGAACACACTAGCGGATGAAGCCCAGACCCTGGGGATGACAGTGTCATCTCTTTGTCAGATTGGCCATAACAATCATGTCCGTTTGCAAGAAACACGTGAGTGCCAGCCGAAGACCGAGGTGGTCGTAGGCTCTGTGTCACGGGGAAACATTGTCTGAACGAGGACATAGGCGCAAGCTTGCCCAGGCTGTCATGAGGAAGCAGTGGATAAGCCATCTTTGGCCTTCGTTGCAAATACTCTAACCGCTCGCAATCATGACGCTCGTGAATACACGCGTCCATGTTGTCGAGATTAGCCTGCTTCGGCAAAGTAATCGAATAGTCCAGCCATTTCAACCCCAACATCAACATGTGGCAAGTTAACGTTCGACCGCTTCCCTTCTCCTGTCCTTTCCCTCTTCGTCTTCATAGCCGTCATTGCCCTTCATTCCTTTCGTATATTGGCTCATCTCGCCAGCCACAACAACCTATCTCTTGCCTCACATTCGCCGACTTTTGCATCAGCCACATGGTGCCACCGGACTGCCTCCGCCATGAACGATGAGCTCCTTATTCGTTGTTCATTAGATATACTTGTATCGTTGAGTTGGCGTACTTGCGAGAAACAGGTTAGTTTTGGCAGAGAGACTGCACAGGATTTCTTATGGAGCGGGGAGCGAGCGCAGCAATATACATTTTGTATAAATGGCCTCGCAGCGCTACCGGCAAAACCGCGGCTCTCATACCCTCGTCTCCCAGCCTGCCGAAGTTTACGCGAAACGTAATCATCCATCTCGTGGCTGCACGCCCTCTCTTAGTGCACAATCCTCTTCTCGATCTCCTGCTTAAGCTTTTGGTTAAGCTCCTGCTAAATTAGCTTGTCCAGTCTGTCTCTAATTCCGCTCTCTGAACCGTTCTATCCGTATCTGTCTGATCCGTCGCTTCCAGTGCGTTTTCATTCCGATCCTTAACCTCGGCCATATGCTCGAACGAGCGGTACCAAACAAGAGCACTGAAAATCTGCAAGTAGCATAAGTGTCGAGACGAATTGCTCCATTATAGCGTGTTGACGGTAATGAGCGATGTGAACAAACTTGATTTCAATAAGACTGGAGATATAACAGAGATCAGCTTGTAGAGATTTCCGTGACAGATTGTAGATCTTGTGAAGGGATACCACCGCTTGTGAAAGCAAAACATTGAAGAGCTACGGCAATAGATAACCAAGGGTATCATAAACATACATTAAAAACTATACACGTCGCTCAAAACGAAGCTGATCTAGGCATAGTCTAGCGTCAATAAGATGAGTGTAGATGCCTCGATTGCGGCGAATCGAAATATGGTGCATCACCAAGGCCCCTAACAGTACCAGTATATATTGTCAGTCGTCGAGTTCCGTGTCGCTATCAGGAGCAGAGGAAAGCGGCGAGCCAGTAGCGAAAGAAACGACGGCATTGTCCTTGCCCTTAGCCTTCGGCGGCTGCGGTGTCTTGCCTGCTGAGATCTCCAGTATTTCAAGCAAGCCGAGAAGTCTATCTGAGCTCGCTTCCAATAAATGTTTTGCCTGCTCTTCTTCGTCTGCGTTCCCTCTTTTACCCCGTCCTGTGCCATACACGCTGTTCCGTGCCTCAATACCGCTTTCCATAGCTTTGCGTAGAGCATTGGTAGGCTTGAGAGCGTTCTGACTCGTCATGTACATGAACATTTGCTCTAGGATGAGTGTAACCTTTGCGTTTGCGGCAAAGCTTTGCGTTGTTCCTCTGAGAGGAAGTAGTGTAGCTTCGAAATGATCCTGTATGGGGTCGTAGCGAAGATAATCAGGAAGAGTGCCGCTGACTAGTGGAAGCAGAAGGTTGGCGTTGAAGGCAACCTGCAAATGGCCTGGCATCTCCAGTGTTGAGAGAAGTACCTGGAAGATGATGGTCGGCAGCTGTATAAAATCCTCGAGTACATTGTCGAAGAAGTCGCTCAACGTAGTGAATCGTGTCGGCAGCGCCTGAGCTACTTGAGCAAGCTGGTGGCGGTTAGCAAATAGAGCATGTATACACGAAAAGCACACTTGCCAATGCAATTAGGCGCTGTCGAAGGTGAATCGCATCCTGTCCACCAAGTCGCTCGGCGGCATCATACACACTGCGAATACCCTTATCGCTAGAGTGGCTTAGTGAGCCCTCCGACTCATCATTATCGCTTGCCTGTTCTGTTGCATCTTGCATCTCCTCGTCGCTCTCGTAGTCGGCCACCTCGCCGGTCTCGAAGTCGACCTCCCCAACTTTGTGATCGCTGTCCGTTCTGCGCCTCGGTTCGGCTGTTTCCTTCTCCCAAACCTCAGGGTACTCCTTCCGCGATTCTGGTGTTGCAATTGAAAGTATTGCTTTGACAATCCTGCGCCTCATTCCGCGGTTCGTAGACTCCGCGTCGCCCACTATGTAGTTCCACAGTAGGCTCTCCTGCAGCATCGCTTCTTGACCTGCCTTATTGTTGTCTTGTCTAACGCAGACGTCCCAGTCCGCCTCTAAGAAGTCCAGGATATTGCTGAGCCATAGTTTCCACCGATCCCACCGCTTCTTGTGCTCGACGGAGCAATTGAAGGCCCATCCGACGATATGCCAAAAGTCCTCAGCACGATACCACAGACTCTGCGTATTTGCAGCGACGCCTGCTATTCGCTCAATATCACCGCCAGGTTCTGGTGAAAGGCTACCTGCTGCGCTGCGGTATCCGGGCGCTCGACGTCGGTTGCGCTCTTCTGGGAACGTGAAGGCCTTCCTCAGGGTGGGGTATGCGGGGTCATCGACAGTCGTCTGGACGCAGTGCAGGTATCGCAGGGCAGCATCGGCGCCCTTTGTTGCGTCTTTCGATTGCGCTTTCGTAGTGACGTGTGGATATGCGATGAGGGAGGAGGCGAGGGATAAGTATGCGGGTGGCGCAAGGAGGCCGACGTAGGGCTGTGCGGGGGTTGAGATGGAGGTTCCGGCCGCGAGGAGGCTATAGAGGAAGTCATACCCGCTGGCAACTGTACATGAGTGAGTAATTGCCGCGAATCACAATCATCACGTACATTGACCGCCCTCGAGGTACGCTTTTGCGTGGTTTGCAAGCTCATAGGAGGCCTGCTTGGTAGGCCGTCGTTGTGCTTGCCGCGGCCGGCTTCCTACAGCTTGAAGAGCAGCTGACGGCGCATTGTGGCTGGTGAGTTTGGAGGGAGATGGAGATTTATTCTGGACAGCAGTCGGGGCTACTGACGCGGCCATGGTCATGTCGCGATGTGATACTGGGATATGGCGGAATGTTGAAACAAGCTCGCAAGTCGCGTGGAGACCGCGTGATCACGTTGCAGGCCATTCCGTTTGTGGTGTGGTGACTTTGATCCCAACTCGCTCGAGATGTTCTGTCGTACAATCACTTGAGGCACAGCATATAGTTTTATTCATCAATTGCTGAATGTTGGAGAAGACCACGCTCCTAGAAAGGTGTGCCCGAGCTTGTGCACTATGGATAACCTTGGAACTCATCTTCTAGAGTCGCGAAAGCACTGAGGAGAGAAGCCGCAACGTTGAGATCAACTCGCGTAAATGGTAGGTGATGTCCACAGCTTAAAGAGCCTAATCTAGGCCAGTCATGATTCAAGTACACCATGCAAGGTACCTGTCCTCTTTTCCTTTCTGAAACTGCACCACATATTGTGGAACCGGTTAGCTAAATCATTAGCACAGTTCAAAGATGCTCGTGGCGTCCTCTCTGGACCAGTTTATATATGCTTTACTACGATAGGAGCTCCAAATTCCACTTCTGCTTGACCACCATAACCAACATGTAAAAAGGCGTATAAAGAAAGTGGTGGAAAGTCGCAAAAGAGATGACTCCGGCGCGGCACTTATGCTAAACCACACTGGTACACAAAAAGACGCTGGAATCAGGACGCAAAGCGATGTAAGGAGATGTGTCCAGCACCGCAGTCGCGTCAACTACCACGCTAATATCCAGAAAGACGCGAACCAAGATGCAAAAAGACGCCAAAAAAATGCAAAAAGAAGCAAAAAAGGTATCCTTCCGGTACCGGGAATCGAACCCGGCTCTCGTCGGCGCTGACAGTTAAGGCATTGAAAGCGACGGATGCTAGCCGATACACCATACCGGATTTCTTTGATGACATTTATCGAAGTAAATGTGTATATAAAATTAATGGTGGCTTTTCGGCGTCAAGGTTGGCAGTGTTGAATCTTGCGTACTCGAACTTCACCAAGGATGACACATACGACAGTCTAGGGCGGGGCTACTACACTAGTGATTCTCAAGGCTGGCTCCGCGCCCTAGAAGGGTAGCATTGGCAGCCTCCGCCGTTTTGCCATGTGAGGCAAGACAAGAGCACCAAGGATTGTCAAGGCCTTCGCACAGACTCTGCAGGTTGAATAACACGTACGAATGCATCGCTCTTACTCATGTAGCATTTTTTTTTCCTTTTGCAGCTTCCCCTCTCCGGTTATTTCTTGAGTTTTGGCGTGGGGGAGGAATATGAGGATTAGTCAGAGTCGGCAAACCTTCTCTCAATCTAGCGCTTGTCATCTAAAGGCCACCAGCAACTCCGCCATGGTGCAGCACGTCCTCTTCGCTTACTTTCCGCGGGGGTGCTCCGAGGAAAGCCTTCGAGTGATGGATTGGACACGTGCACATCGAAAAATTAATTGCAGCCAAACAAGTGGCTGACTTACCACCACGGCGCGGCCATCTGAACTTTCTACTACCAGCCAGGGGCGCTTCAACTGGTTGCCAGTCCCATCAGAAATTTTGCACTCGAGTTGTCCTGCTTTTGAAAAGGCAGTGGATATGATGCTATATCCTCACAGATACATAATAGTATTCCATGCATACATCGTCACTTTGTTCCGCACAACTTGGACGGCATATGATAAGTGATAGCAGCTCTCATCAGTCTCAAAGACTAGTTTGAATTTGTGGTCACTCTATTTGACTGCAGCACTTTGATTTTGCTGCTACTTTCGTGCGTAAATCTTCCAGTACCTAAACCGTGCGCGTTAATGACCTGCTGTTCGACAGCCACATGTGTAATGACCGGTGGGTCATCGCATTAATTCCATGCTCTCATTGTATTATTACAGTGCCCATTACTCTTCTCTAGCTCAGCTGTTGAGTTCTAGGGCTAAACATCTCTGTCCCTTTGAAGTCACTTATGATCGACGAACTTCACAATCAGAACTATACGTTTTACCATACAGGCCATACACGATTCTTGAATTGTTATTGAAAGTATTCTCAAGTCAAGTCTTCTGGGGGCTATGCTTCCCTTGATCTTTCCAAACCCGACCACTTGCAAGTCACTTGTCAGAAAGTAACGCCATACGCGTCACGCAATACCACCATCTTTCAGAGACCTGGGTAAAGCCGTTTGGATGTCGAGGAATTGGGAATTTTGTATTTGGAGGTTCAATTTTCCATTTCGAATAGCCTAGTCAAATGCTTTATGTGTCTCTTTCGTGCAATGGTCATACCCAGAGAACGCGGGTCTAAAATTACAATACATCTCAGAATTTATTGTGAGTTCAACAGCATTGAACCTACGCTGATGTTATTCAAAGGACAAAATATATGCTTACAGAGCAGGTAATTGCATGACAATAGTTAGGAAACGGCGGTCAACAAAACCCAATACGTATTTGACGGAGATAGAATCGCCACCAGTTTTCGAACCTTGAATATCACATTGTTTACGAAAGTAGGGTAAATCGTCTAAATTTATCAAAGACTGAATAGCGATGTATCATTTTATGCTAGGGTTAGCGTCTTCTGGTAAATCAAATTTTATTCCCTTCTCGAGAGAACACGGGTCTCCGAAATAGGTCTTCTATTTACTTGTGTGCTCTCTAAGGCGTACAATCAGCGCTAGACTACTGCAACAGACTCACTATTCTGCCTTGCTTGGGCGCCAGATGTGCTAGACTGATATATGGCCTGCGTGCGTACCTAATGTTGTTCTATATATTTGCTACCGCAAAATTATGCGTCTTCCTGCTAACAGGTTTTGAGTGAATGCGTGCAACATCTACTAAATTGTTCTATAAACAGCTAGTGAGCTCTCGCATCATCGACTTCTGTTGAGAAATCTCATGAATGCTACTACTTCACCGAATGCTGACACCTGAGGCTCTAACCTGGTTGCACTCGTGTCGATGGACGTCTTCCGCCTCAATTTCGGGTCTGAGAGGGGAAACATATGTGGCACTGAAGTCATATGAGAATCACACTGGCATCTGTTGACGAAAGAGCGTTTCCGCTATTTTTGATATTGAGCATTCCTGCGGAGACACAGTTAAAACCTATGGGACCAGGTCTATGGTTTCATGCGAGGACCGCTGTGATGGAAATCACGTATCTAGGGAGAAATGTTTGCGAGCAGTTCTGCGCCCTTGGTTTCGCTAATCGCCATGATATCTTATGTGTCACTTCATGTGGTCTACCCAATTGAAAGAACAAAGTGGCAGGCGAAGTTCGAGAACGACTTCAAGATTCTACACTTTCTTCATAGTCACTTTATAGCGCTTTGAGGCGGCATTTCGCTAATTCGACCGCCATCGCTCCGGGCCATATTGTCATGCTTGCTACCATGATGAGCAGCAATCAAATGGCGATAGAAGTGGGCCCACATTACTCAGTGTCGGGCGACAAACACCCAAAGCAGCCTGTTGGACTAGGTGGCTTACGTTTCATGGTGCGCAACTCTGCTCATATCGGGCGATGTTCCGCAACGGGCGTCAGACTTTGCACAATTGCAATTAAACTATCGAAGGTTGCAAGGGGAAAGGCAAGCTTTTGACATCAGCCTCAAAGAGTTTACTCGTATATAAGAGTTGCACCTATCTGGTGACTCGCCCCAAGCTCATCAGGAAGCATGTGCACAACCAAGAAGCTTCACAAACTGTGTGGAGCCACATTACGTACAAGGCTAGCGGTAAGAACTTCGACGAAAATTCAGCGTTCCAAAATTTTTGTGAAGAGGTGAATGTAATCATTCCAACGTTTGCAATTCGTCAGTGCCCAAGACAACTGAGGCAGCTTGGGTCTATTCAGCCCTGTTGGATGCGCCAAGTTTGCATGATTGCGATATATCCACTCGCTCATCCCCAAAGTATGGCACCAAGGCCCATTATTTTCCTCGTCCCAGTCCCACACGATCATGCATACGGCCCCCACACATGTCTCGCGTGAGGACCAAGCCGGAATACTTATCCTGGGAAGTGGAGCCTATTGACCACGCCGCATTCATATTTTCAGGGCTTGCTGACTAGTGCATCCAGGCCCTATGCTCCTTGGTCAACCTTGCTCTCCTCGAAGACACATGCGCGGCCTGGGTGGTCTTGCGCACGAAAATAGGCATCGTGCCGAGCATCCTAGAACGTGGCACGGCAAGCATGCCACCCCAAGGCCGGCATGTCCCCTGATATGCTTGCAGTATTGGCGAGTCTAGAGCGCGGTACTCGTAGTCTTGAACATCCATCGTTCGATGCTTGAAGATACGCCGACATTGAGATTTTGCCTGGACCTGAAGGATTACCGAAACTATTTTTCCTCAGCTTTTTTCTTGCTCAGTAGTCGTGCCCGTGTGTTGAAAGTGATTGGTGCGGTAACGCCATTGCCAGCCGGCGCTACACTTCCGTCACTGATGTCGCCCTGCAGCAGCCACCCTTTCATCCACAACGCCATGCCTAGGCGACCTGCAGGCATGGGCAGCTGCACGCTGGCAAACCTTAGCTAAATTTTTCTGTCATTTCACAGTGATTCGAACCCGTGAGCATGGTTTCTTGGGATTGACGTGGGGCATACTTGTGACAGTGGCTGCTTCTCCAATACAGCAGGGGACTCTGAAGCCCACAGGCCACAGGCCACCGAAATCACGATGGCGTGAAATGCTGGCGACACCGGCCGAGCAAAGTCCACAGATGATCAGATAAGATTAGATGACGAGGATATCCCGCAAGATTCTCGTGCAATTGGTCGCTAGCCCGGCTACGGCAGGCGGTAGAGCGCGGCAGCATACCCGCCAATGCTGATCTCCCCTCTCGCCTGCTCTCCTCCAACACAATTCAACAGCCACCTGCGTCAACAGTCCACCAGATAAACTGCTCACTAGCATTCCGTGATGTACTCGCAACACGCTACGAAGCGCATCGATCACAGCAAAAGTCTGTTTCGCAGCTGAGAGCTTGCACAACCGGCCAGGAACACGGGGATCAACAGCGCACTCACATTATGCAACCTCAACGTTCACAAGGAAGAGGCGCACTTGTTCGGAAGATCCCATCCCTCAGGCGAGGCCTTTATCCCTGGCTTGCGCGGGATCAAGGCCTTCGGCGACACTACTCGTTTTGATGGACCGAGTTTTCGACCGCCACTGACAGCAAGAGCCAAGCGCTTGGCACTACATCCTGCAGTGGGACGGCAGCGGGCCAAGAGACACCAGGTTCTTCTCGGACAGCGAGATTGGATCTTATCTGATCATCTAGCACTTATCTGATCATCTAACCGCTGCTAACGCTGCTGGGCACACAACATACCTGGCCGGTGGGAGATGATCCCAAGCCACCGGGTGGGCAGAAAGGCAAAATTTTCAATCTGTTACCCTTGCGACCTTCCTTGTCCGGTCATCGGAGTGGAGGCCGCACAATACATAAGAACGGCTGGAGCTTGCTGTTGCGATCGGCACCCACCTGCACCCCAATCTCATACCCTGCTTCCTCGACTTGAACGATGAACCCCATCCAAGTTGATGCGGTGCGACCAACAGAGGGGTTCCGAGACCCTTCGAAGGAGTTGGATATCGAGAAGCGCCCTGAGCATGCTCACGATACCCACAGCGACGATGACACCAAGTCTGTCGAGTCTGAAAAATTTCAGAATGGCGTCCAGCGTGTACGAGCCATCACGGAAGTGTGGAACAAGCCAACGTTGATTGCTATGTTTGTCTTGTATGTTCAACCATCGCATAATTTCCTACTTCGAAGTGAGTTCTAACGCAGTTCGTCCAGCCTTTTCCTGATCGAATTCGTTGCTTTTCTACAAAATGCGCTTGATTATGCTCTCAACCCCTTCGTTACCTCATCCTTCGACAAACATGGTCTCCTCAAC